AGCAGAACAAACTTACAATAGCTAAGACACAGAGACAACCCAAGTCTCCTTCAACAGATAAGCAGATAAGGAAGATATGCTGTATACATATATATACAGTTGAAAACAGGCAAAATTAAATAAACTATAATGATGAGGAATGAATAATCATAACACCATGAAGAAAAACACGAAAGAATAAGTTAACATTAGAAAATCGGGCCAATATTTTTCAGCAATATCAATATCAACATGAAATGATACTTATTTGAAAGAAAAAATGCTCCTCTAGAAACCCCAAAGCACATCTACATACATAGCTGGTTAGAAATGCTCAAGCTCATTTCTTAGTAATAACTCAGTCATTAGCAATGGGAACTTGAAATACATGATTGATTAAGACCAGCCAGGATTTCCCAATAAACTGGGATATAGGTGGCCTTGCCAGATGTCACCTTGCCAGATGATTAAACAAAAAAAGATTCTGTTAGCAAATAACAGTGTTCATGTATGTCAGGGAGGTAAGTAACGGTGCTGTTGCAATATACCAGTATTAGGAGGTGAGTGCAGGTGTTGACAAATATTTTCTGCAAAAAAGAACAGACATTTTCAAATTTGCAGGCCAAAATGTCTGTCACAACTATATTCTGCCTCTCCTATGTGAAAGCAACACAGGCTATACAAAACAGATTGGCATTGCTGGCTCAGTCTCTCGTTCTGTAGTCAACTCCTCGATTAAAAGCTAAACAAGGTCCTACAGTATAGCACAGGGAACTATATTCAACGTCCTGTCATAAATCGTAATGGAAATTAATATCAAGGAGAATGTATATATACATATTTATATATATGTAACTGAATCACCTTGCTGTACAGTAGAAATTAACATACCACTGTAAATCAACTATACTTCATCAAATTTAAAAAGAAAAACACACACAAAAAAAGCTAAAATACAGATGGTTTGGAACTACTGCCCTGGGATGTACAGTCTTCTGTTGCACCAGCAGAAACTGGAACCTAAACACAACTACCAACGCAACCACTCTTGGCATCCAAATCTTCAGCCATCACACACCTCTCTGGACCAGACACTGACTACACTACACACTTCCTTATTAACCCAAAACCTGGGCCAGACACCCTCATGTGATGATCCAGGCCCCGCCACCACTGAGCCCCGAATTAAATCCCCAACCTGAATCTGACACTGAGATCGTTGTCAATGCCACTGAAGAGGAAAAGTTAAAATTTTACATAACCTCCTGCTTGTTCTGCCTCTGCTTGCTCCTTGCAAAGTCTGGATGACAGGTCATGTACTCTCAGAAAGTGGGGACTTACAATACTAGGAACTGGAGCTTATCTCACTCACCCTTGTCCTGCCCTTTGCAATTGCCTGGCCCCTGCAATCCTGCTTAATCATGCCTGTCCCTGCAAAGGTCTGGCATCCCCCTCCCCGTCCTGACCGCTGTTCCCTCGCACGCGAAACCCCTTAGTTTAAACCACCCTATTAGCAGCTAGTGTTGCCCATTGTCTATAAAAACTCTATAAACCTTTTGTTTATGGTTCAGAGCTTGGAGTGTGAACTCCTCTGGGCCCACCTGCTTAATAAACCCGAATTCTCCAACTCTCAAGAGTGCGATGCTTGGTTTCTCTATTACTGGTTTCTGCAACACATGTACACTCTGCAAGCCGAGTGACCTACAGAACCCCAAGGCCTGACAACTGGAAGAAGAGTATTGATCTCTACAGAATCTAATTACACTGATTCACAGGACACGCCCCTAATCCAACCCACAGACAAACTCCAAGTCTCAGTTCAGTTCAGTTCAGTCGCTCAGTCGTGTCCGACTCTTTGCGACCCCATGAATCGCAGCACGCCGGTTCTCCACAAGTCCGGTACCCACCTGGTTCCCCTTACACATAACCACCTCGGCATTTCTACCCTCCCCTTCCGCCCTCTGGCAATAATCTCAGGGGTCCAGACGGCACCAAGTCCACGTATCACCCTGGGCGAAACAATGCCACCGCTGTGACGACAACAACAAATTCCAGGGTCAAAAACTTCGTACTAACTTGATTTTCCTCAGACTGACCAACCGCCTAAACAGCGTCATGCTTTCGTGAACTGCTTTGACCTCCAGAACTGTCTACGGAAGCCGAGGTGAATCTGGGATGCGCAGGAGCTGAGGACCCGACTTCCGGTACGTCCTAGAGAAGCAATATGTCTGCGCCCAGCTCACGGCGGCCCCTTGGGAGCAGCCATGTTGGCACACCTGACGTACAGAATACCCAGGGATGCGTCTTTGCCCCAGAAGCTGGCCATCTTGACCTGGTGAGAAGCCACTGAAATTCTCTCATTTCCTGGCACTTTGATTCTTGTAGAAAATGGGTACATTTTCAGTCTCAGGCTTCACGAGACAAAACTGATGTAGACTAAGGTGCTTTCAAGCCTGCTAGGCAGGTAAGTAAAAGGCAACGGTATATATTATCCACTTGGTATTAAAAAAAAAAAAAAAAAAAAAGAATTCCAAACAGGTAGGAGTTCAGTCGTCCTATTGGCAGCAGAGATGCACTCCCAGAAAGGGAAAACAATACATCTGGTAAACAGACACCACGGAAAGCTTCTGGAGGGAAAATAGTTTGCAGGAAGCTGTTTTTTTTAGAACAGAAAGCGATTTCCAGGAGTTGTACAGTATGGGGCTAGCCATTAACAGGGAAAAGAGCAGCAGGGACTACCCAAGTTGTGACTGGGGGTTGGGGCTGGGGAAAAGGCCGCCAGAAGTGAGGCCATTAATGGTGTGGAATCGATGGGAAAAGCTCAACTTGAATCCATCCCACCATAATATGAGGGTGGTGATGGGGACAGTAACTCAAAATTTAGGACAAAGAACGTCAAAACTAAGTGTGCATCAGGCCATTGTTAAAAATGCAGGGTCCTCAATTGTAGCCCCAGAGGTTCTGGTTTCAGAGCTGGGGGACATGGCTAGGATATTTGCATTAAGTTTCTCAGAGAATCTGAGACAGGAAGACTGTCATATACAATCACTAGAAACAGTCCTGGAATATTCTCTAGTTACCTATATTATGATGCAGGACTCTCATTAGTACTTAAGTCTTAGCTCAAATTATATAAGCTTGGGATGGGGAACCTCCCTCATTGTTACCAAAGCATCCATGCGCGTGTGCTATCTCGCTTCAGTTGTGTCCGAGTCTGTGCCACCCCGTCGACTATAATGTAGCCCACCAGGCTCCTCTATCCATGGGATACGCCAGGCAAGAATACTAGAGCGGATGGGGAATACATGTAAAAAAAAAAAAAAAAAAAGATACACTATGGTTGTGATAAAAAAAATAAATAAATAAATAAATAAAAAGAATACTAGAGCGGGTTGCTGCTCTCCTCCAAGGGAAATTCCCAACTCAGGGATTGAACCTGGGCCTCCTGCAAAGCAGTAGATTTTTTACTGGTTGAGCCATCAGGGAATCATATATATGTATAACTGAATCCTTTGCTGTACACTTGAAACTAACACAGCATTGTAAATCAGCCATATTTCAATAAAATTAAAATATTAAAAACAAAATAGAATGGTATTAAGTCACCTCATTTAAGAGGTGACTGGGTCCAAAGGGTGGAGCCCTCATGACTGGGAATAGTGCCTTTATAGAAGAGAACCCACCCCCGCTTTTCCCTTTCCCCAACATGAGGATACAGTGGGATGACTGTCTTCTATGAACCAGGAGTCCTCATTAGACACCAAGTGTGTCTATGGCTGTAATACCCTGAATGTGCTGATCTCATCTGAGCTGAAAAGCTCAGAGGGTCAGGCCTGCTTAGTACTTGGATGTGAGATACTAAATCTTCATGCACCTTAATCTGGGACTTTGTAGCTTCCAGAACTGTGAGAAATGAATTTCTGTTTCTATAAGCTACGAACATGATGGTCTTCTCTCATAGTAACCGGAAGGGACTAAGAAAATATCTATTTCATTTAGTGTATGTATTTACATCCTCTTACTATTAACAGATTAGCTGATGTACTACTTAAAAATAATACAGTTACCCCAAAGCTCTCTCTGGGAGACCATGGGTTTTTTCAAGGGCTTAATCACCACTGTATCCTCAGCTCCTAAGACAGGATCCAGTAAAAAGGGAAGTATTCAACAAATACTCAGTAAATGAACAAAATGACTCAATCTAAGACTGAAGCAAACTGGCTCAATCTAAATCCCTCTGCATAATACAAAATTTCTTAGAGTTTAAGATAGACATCCCAGTTTTCAGTCAGTCCTTCACCTTGCTCTGGAGAAACAGAATTGATATATATATACACGTCCCATAGCCCACCAAACCAGTATTAGCCCTGTTTGTTCACAAGAACCTTCCACATACAAATTGTATGCTTAAAAACTTCACCTACGTATTTCTTCCACTTAGTTGGACTCAGGCTTCCTTCATTCATTCTTTCAACTGACACAACACAGCAATTGATGTGTTTGTGTTTGGGTTAACATCAGATTATGCCTCAGTATCAATGCATATATTTAACTGGGTGAGCATATCATGGGTTCCTGGTCTCAGCATTTATACAGTTGCTCTCAGTATAAACTTTTCAGCCACCATCTAACCTAGATATTTTTGCTCAACGATTTCTAACTTTTACACATAGTATGTCTCGAGTTTTCTTCCTAGGGGTTTTCTGTGACACAAAATAAAACATAATTGACCACCGCAGGCACAACCATGCTCACTGCGTTCTTAAGGGTTCTGTCCTCTGCAGACCCTCTGTCATCTCCTGCGGGTGCACACCTGCCCACAGGTGGTCCCGTTATGATGATGTTCCTATTTGCTAGTTCACTGATGTTGACTGACGGCTGAAGGGCCATGGAAGGCACCTGCACAGCCACCAAGTTAACGAGGTTCTTCTGCTGCATGGCATCACTTGTCTGTGAGGCAGGTTTCTCCCCCTTTATTGCATCTCCATGTTTCTCTCTTGTGTGTATTTTCCTATGTTTACCAAGGCAAGACATGTAGGCAAAAGCTTTCCCACACTCATTGCAGGTGTAAGGTCTCTCTCCTGTGTGAGTCCTTTGATGGACAATGAGCTTTTGCTTTGTAGTGAAGGCTTTCCCACAGTCACTGCATTCAAAGGGTTTCTCTCCTGTGTGAATTCTTTGATGTTTAATGAGACCTGACTTCTGGGAACAGGATTTTCCACACTCACTACACACAAAAGGAGTCTTTCCCGTGTGAAATCTCTGATGGGCGATGAGGCAGGTCTTCTGGATGAAGCCTTTTCCACATTCATTGCATGTGTAAGGTTTCTCACCTGTGTGAATTCGCTGATGTACAATGAGATTTCCCTTTTGGATGAAGCCCTTTCCACAGTCACTGCAGATATACCGTTTCTCTCCGGTGTGGGTTTTCTGATGTATGTTGAGCCGTGATTTCTTGAGGAAGGCTTTGCCACAATCAGTGCACTGGTAAGGTTTCTCTCCTGTGTGCATTCTCTGGTGTTCAGTGAGCATGAATTTTCTAGAGAATGCTTTGTCACAAAGATTACATCGATGGGGCTTCTCTCCTGTGTGAATTATCTGATGATCAGTGAGCCAAGACTTTTTGATGAAAGCTTTCCCACATTCACCACATACATGAGGCTTCTCTGTTTTTTTAGTTTTCTGATGCTCATTGAATGGGGATTTGGAGCTGATGGGTTTTTGGCTTTGGGGGAATTTAATTTCAGGATGAAACTGTTCACTGTCAGCATGGCGACAGGATTTCTCATCTCCAGTAAGCTCATTGGAGCTCTTTATTTCATAGCTGAGGTTTTGAGAAAGTAAAGTTAAATTTGATTTCATACATTTTCCATGCAAGTCAAACACATCATGATGCTGCCTGTGCAGAAAATGAGTTATGCTCTGATGAACAGCATTTTCTAGTGGGTTCTGTTCATGCCATTGTTCTAGTCTCTTCTCCATACTCTCATTTTGTAAGTACTCCAGCAGGTGGTCATCAAATTTCCAGACTTCTAGTAAAGAGAAGAAAAATGAATTTCCTAAAAATACCCTGATGTGAGAAATCTTTCTGGGGATGTTTTTATAAGTATAAAATAAAATTCTATGTTTAATGTTCCCTGCACATTGGAACAGTGCCGCAAACCAGTCAAAAGGAAAAAGTAGTGTAAAACAGGGTTGGATAATTCACAATGAATAAATACAGATTTGAATACCTTCTAACACTAGCCTTGCAGACATGCAGAGACTGTAAAATACAAGCAATGTTCTGTGAGAAGGAGCCCGGAGGTTGCAGGGCACCTTATCCACATTGTGATATGGACTCATCCAGTTCACAGATCCTGACTGCTGACCATGGTGGACCAGGAACGGTGCTAGTGCTGGGGAGTCACAAACACTTCCCAAGGTGCAGAGAGCCTATGCTGTAGAGGGGTAAAACCACTTCACGGGGCAGAGGTGGAACATGAGGAAAGCAGCTACAAGCTGGGAAAACTGGTGGGAAGGAGCGATGGACAGGGAGAGGGGTGGAGGAAATCTGGCTCAATTTGGAGGAAGACAGGCCTCCCCATGGATCCAGTGTTGTTGTTGGTATGAGGAGAATGAAGAGAATAACACAGGGACTTCGCTGGCAGTTTAGCCATTAAGACTCTTCGCTTCCAGTACAGAGCACTTGGGTTCAATCCCCGGTGTGTTAGTCGCCCAGCCGTGTTCGACTCTTTTGCGACCCCATAGACTGGAGCCTGCCAGGTTCCTCTGACCATGGAATTCTCTAGGCCAGAATTCTGGTGTGGGTTGCCATTCCCCTCTCCAGGGGGTTTTCCCAATCCAGGGATTGAACCCAGGTCTCCCACATCGCAGGTGAATTCTCTACCATCTGAGTAAGATTTCACATGTCTTGCGGCAAAAAATTGTTTAAAAGAAGGGGAAAAAGAAGGAAAATGACACAGCAGAGAACTGCAAGCACATCTAAGTTATAATCTGCACCTTGGAGAGCTGCTCCTTTCCTAAAAGAGGAGCCCTGGCTCACACTGGTCCATTACGCAACTTAATTTCATCACAGCACTTTTCACCACCTAGACATATTATTTATTATAAATTTTGATAAATTCATGTCTCATTCTCTTAGAACAAAAGCTCTCGGTCTGTTTTTTCAACTGCTGTGTTTGTGTGTGTGTTAGTTGCCCAGTCGTATCCAACTCTTGGCAACAGAGCCCAGCAAGCTCCTCTGTCCGTGGAATTTCCCAGTGGTTTGGAGTGGGTTGCCATTTCCATCTCCAGGGGTCTTTCCAACCCAGGGATTGAACCTGGATCTACTGCCTTGCAGGTGAATTCTTTCCCGTCTGAATGGCTCAGACTGCTCTAACATTTCACTTTACACTTCATTATCAAAAAAATTCATAGAGGAAGGAATCAAGGAAGCTATTCCATGTATGGAGCAGACTGGGAGGTTTAGGAAGATGTAAATCTCTGCGTGAATAAGATGATCTGTCATGACGATCACAGAAAGGAGAATTTTTTTGTCCTGAAAGGGAATGTGGTTACCTGGTACTTAATGTTATCAGGATACCAGGGAAAAGAAATGAAAGCTTTTGGGAAGTAAATGTGATGATAAGGTCTACAAAAATGAGAAGTTTCAAAACTACTAAATACACAAAGGAATTAACTGGAAGTAGGCAAGAATTATGATCTAGTTGAGGCTGGAACTAAGAATGCAGGATGTTAAAATAATTTTCTAGTTAAAAATTCATCCTGAACAGCTGAGCCCTTTAGAGAAGAGAGCTCTGCAGGTGGGGACAGTGGAGGTAATGTCTGAACAGCCAGGGTGGAGGCTGCACAGGAGTAAGGGAGAAGCTAACTTGTAGGGTTTCCTAGGAGGGAAGATGATCCACAACCAGGTCGTCACTAGGAACAAAGGCGAGCTGCCATCGAGATGAGGAAATCATACAGAACCAAGTCTCTGCTGGATCACACTGGGGAGGTATCAACTTGGGAGTTTTCTCCAGTGAGCCAAAGGAATTTGTTAGCTTATTAGAAAGAAGGAAACTTGGAAAGTCAAGAGATCATTGAGTAAGAGGGAAAGCAACATTAGTAAAACCTCAGAGTGGAGAGAAGGCCCAGTGAAGACCAGTTTACTTTGGGGCTGGCATCCGATGGGATGGTTGTGAGAAAGGAAATCAATATGAGCAGTAGAGCAGGAAGGGGCAGTAGACAGCAGCAGACAGGGATTCAGTTTTCTCTGTGGAGGGCTTCATTGGTAGCTCAGTGGTAAAGAAACCCCCTGCCAATGCAGGAGACACAAGTTGGATCCCTGATCCAGGAAAATCTGACGCGCTGGGGAGTACAAGCCCGTATGCCACAGCTGTCGAGCCTGTCCTCTAGCACCTGGGAGCTGCAACAACTGAAGCTCTTGAGCTCTAGAGCCCATGCTCCAAAACAAGAGAAGCCACTGCAATGAGAAGCCTGTGCACCCAAACTAGGGAGTAGCCCCCCTTCGCCACAACTAGAGAAAAGCCAGCATGCAGCAATGAAGACAAAGCACAGCCAAAAATAAAAATTTTTTAAAAAGTCTTCTCTGTGGTGAGAGTTCCTGGAAGGGGGAATTTCATAGAAAATGAGGTGGAAGAGGATGGAGAAGGAAAAGATATGAAAATGATAGGGAAAAGAACACTAGGCAAACAAAAATCAAGATGGCAGTAAAATAAAGAAACAGATCCTAGAAGGCGCAGAATATTTCCTAAAAAGGGATATATTCTTCTCTAAACTCCTACAATACTTTGGCCACCTGATGCAAAGAACTGACTCATTTAAAAAGACTCTGATGCTGGGAAAGATTGAAGGCGGGAGGAGAAGGGGACAAAAGAGGATAAGATGGTTGGATGGCATCACCGACTCGATGGACAGGAGTTGGAGTAAACGCCGGGAGTTGGTGATGGACAGGGAGGCCTGGCATGCTGCAGTCCCTGGGGTCGCAAAGTCAGACATGACTGAGCAACTGAACTGAACTGAAACTCCTAGAAAGAAAAGTTGTCTGATACCAGGAGAGAAATGCAGAGAGGCACTGTTCTCCCATCCTCCAACCCCCTCGCAGCTGTGGCTCTTCTCTGACAGTGTCATCTCCACGGCCTGCTCCCCTGGTCTCTCACTCACCTGAACGGGTTCGACAGTGGACTTCATCATCCATCGTCCATGGTTCTCCTTGATTCACTTTGGAGAGTACCTCTGGTGTGCTTGCTTGAAAACCTGTTCATGGGAAATGACAGACTATTTAGGCCCAGTGAGTTCGCCTTGGAGTCTGTGAACATGGCAGAACGCTACATGTGAAGCCAAAACAATTTCACAACCTAGAGATCAAGGCTTTTCTCGCAGGAGAAGGGAGAATACACCCACTGCTTTTGGGCCAGAGAGGACACCGAGCATCACAGACACTCCAGAGCTTTCAGAAGCTGAGAAAGGAAAGGCCACTGACTGGGAACCTGGTCAGTGACCCAGGCGGCTGTCCTCACCCGCAGACAGCAGGTTGCTGTGGTTCTCCAGCATCACGTCCCGGTACAGGGCCTTCTGAGCAGGAGCCAGGAGCTGCCACTCTTCCCACGTGAAGGCCACGGCCACGTCGTCAAATGTGAGGGTTTCCTGTAATAAGAGAGGTGTCTCATGACGATGTCACCTTGATGATATGGAAGAAAAGTTAAAGGTGTTCTGCTCATTTCCACATTACAGGCTGCACTGAGATACCCAGTAAGGCTTTTATTTTAATGTATCATTAAAGAAGCAATGCCTAATGCAACATTCTCTAATTGTGCAGTCAGCCATCCATTCATTTATCCAATTGGAACTTTCCACAGTATGTAGAACTAAATCTTATTAAGCGAGAAACACTACAAATTTATACTTTATAGAATAATGAAAGTGATTTTTTTTTTGAAAGTGATTTTTTTTACAGGTTTCTACAAGCCCACTGGGGAACAAAGGAAAGAATAAAACAAACCAGAAGTCACCTGGGCCTCGATCATTTTCTTCTGTTCTATGAAAACACCTGGCAACCGGGAGGCTCTGTGATGTGTCTCCTGGATCTGTTCCCAATTTCGTTTCTGAAATTTGTCTTCAAGCAAGCATATCCCAAGAAAATGCTGCTACCAAATCCTGTTCGTCCTCCTTCAACTGATTCTTTTGCTCCTGGGGACTCAGGACCTTGGGTGGAGGAGAAAATTCAAGCTAAGGGTACATTTCCTCTTGTCCCAGAGGCTATCACTGCTCCTGGGTGCTCATCTTAACCCAATGCCCATGGCATTGCCAAATGTCCCTTTATTGGTAGCCCCAGAAAATTTTAAACTTCTGGCCAAAAAAACATAAGCTTCTGAAAGTGACGGAGGTAATGTTCCTTTGTTCCATGAACTTGAAGTGGGTGACTGTCAAATGAGATGAGGGACAAGAGATTCATCCAGCAGCAGGCCTCGGGAGCAGGAGAATCGCAGGCAGTTCAGTTATACAAAAGGGAC